ACCCGGGGGGGGGGGGGTGGGGGTGTGGATGGGGATGGGGAACTTTTATTCCAGATTTAAGAAGTTTTTGAAAGGACGTCACAACATTGTAATCTGCCAACATTTTCTTTTTAATTTAAAACATAAAAAAATGAAGTTAGATTTATTGGATGCAGTCTTGATTATTCGACATCTTGTCTCATACCTCAGGTTATTTTATATTTCGAGCTAAACTAGGTTAAAAAGCTCTAGGATGTGTCAAGTGTTTGACGTAAATCTCAAAAAACTGAATATTGGAAGAAACAATTACAGATTTGAAAAACTGAGTTTCTTCCTTATCTGATGTTTATCTTCTACTAATCTGTCTTTTTAATTCAAATTTAAAGACTCTCCAAGAATGATGACCTATGTCACTCGATAGTCAACGATAGTCAAGTTAATATTGTAGTTGTTACACCTCGTCACATGTGGCACCAAGGTTGCGGCTCTCCTATCCACGTGGCAAAGATGACCAATGCTCAAGAATAAGTGCATGTTTGGTAGTGATTTTCCTCCCCAAAAAATCAAAATTTTGACCACTATTTCACTATTTTAGCTGTCACAATGATGACCTATGTCACTCGATAGTCAACGATAGTCAAGTTAATATTGTAGTTGTTACACCTCGTCACATGTGGCACCAAGGTTGCGGCTCTCTTATCCACGTGGCAAAGATGACCAATGCTCATGGGCGGAGTAGCCGACCCACTCACAGCATTGAAACCACCTCAACTCATAATTAAATATTACAACTACCATGACATCCCCCAACATGGATGCGTGTTTTCTGTTCATTATAGCAACAAAATTTTTGAGAACCTGCTTCATTTCGGCCAAATTTTGCCTCGTTTCCTCTGCTTGAGCTGCCAAACTGACAGCATCATTCAACATTGGGGCACCCACAAACTCCTCAAGCATTCCAATCCGATCTTTCAAATTTTGACTTGGAGCCAAATCACAGTTTTCCCAATAACTTACAAAAATGTACTTTGATTAATTTTCCTCGATCAGAACCATGCTCTGATACCAATTGTCACAGGACTGTCTCATGTTCCCTACGATGGCATTGAGGTTTTCCGTCCCCAACCAGCCAATACTTATTTTGTGCAAGTTTAGTAATGAAAACACTCGAAATTTGACTAAGCATCAAAGTGCAGAAGATTGAATCTAACTTTAAGCAACACAAAATGTTCACGGAAACCATTCCAACTTTTTTTTCTACTAAAACGAAGAAACATGTAAAAAGAAAATGAAAGGGCCAACACAATACTTTGTTGCCTCAATCAAAGTCTCAGAGTATGCTTTTCTCTGTGTAACTAAGTACCCAAAACTTGAATTTATAGAATAACATCCATTCCCGATTTACAGTTGCCAGTCCCTAACTGTAGTCAAATTTTCACATTGTCAGCCTGTTTGGCTTAAAATTGCCTATGTGAAAATCTTATACCAAAAGATTCGAACAAAAGCTGCAATTTTACATGAATGGTTATGTGAAAATCTATTAACAGATTCACGTTTTCACTTAATAAAGACTTTTGATACTAAACCAATATAATATTCTTTTGTCTCCTTATTTTTCTTGCACAATAAACTTGTTCATTTTAGTATTTTCTCTCCGTAAAACTTGTTTATATTCTGTAATTCTCAAGAATAAGTGCATGTTTGGTAGTGATTTTCCTCCCCAAAAAATCAAAATTTTGACCACTATTTCACTATTTTAGCTGTCATTTTTTACTTTTTCTCTCACAGGAAAATCTCACTATTCTCTCTAACGATCAGAAAATCAATTCTCAAAATCACTATCAAACAAGCCTTAAAGAATAAACCCCAAGTATATAGATATAAATCTTTGATGTTCGGGTCGTCTTTGCAATGCACAATACAGAAAACATGATAGTTTCATTATATCATAGAAGCATATTTGTGTTTTCAAGTGCATCACTGAATTGGTGGGGTAATTATCGTTTTATCATTTGATATAGTTCAAGTTTTCTACATTCTCCAACTTCTTCTATTCCTTTCTATTGTATTATTTTAAGACTTCTGGAAGACATCCCACCAACACTTTAGGTTTAAAGAAAAAATAATTACAGTTGACCATTTCTAATGCAAGTGATGCGCATTCACAGTTACCTCAGAAATCGATCGTCCAAGTAACCAATTATAATAAAGATACCACAATCAATTAAACATCCCATCATGTGCAAGTTCTATATGTTTAATTGGAAGTCAATGGATTGATATATAAGATTATATTTTAGCTGTCAAGTTGTTTAAGATTCAAGAAATTTTGAACATTTTTTTATCTATTTATATAATAAATATGGCTTTTTAGTCCTTTTTGTCCCTATTCACTTCCTATGGATTCACAACGTATTGATTGAATTTTGACCAAAAAATAAATGTTTTATTGACAGAAATGGTCCTTATCATCCACATCTGTAAAATATGGCCGTTAAACGGTCGCTCGGATTCCACGTGCTTAATTTCAGAAGGTTGATTTTGTTCGACAGCTTAAAATAAAATTATAAACTAAAAAGTAAGTCTCCATTTAAAAGCATACATCTTATCACATTCATATCAAATATTCAGAGCAAGGGACGATAATCAATTTCACCCGAGAGTCAAGTTGATATTGTAGTTGCAGTGATAAATCTGACAGGAGAATTTGAAGCTGATGCCAAGTTGAACTAGCAGGCAAGAGATTGGTTTATTACATCCTTGAACTGTTGTAAACTTCAATTATGTCCTGCTGAAAGTCAATGGATTGATATATAAGATTATATTTTAGCTGTCAAGTTGTTTAAGATTCAAGAAATTTTGAACATTTTTTTATCTATTTATATAATAAATATGGCTTTTTAGTCCTTTTCGTCCCTATTCACTTCCTATGGATTCACAACGTATTGATTGAATTTTGACCAAAAAATAAATGTTTTATTGACAGAAATGGTCCTTATCATCCACATCTGTAAAATATGGCCGTTAAATGGTCGCTCGGATTCCACGTGCTTAATTTCAGAAGGTCGATTTTGTTCGACCACTTAAAATAAAATTATAAACTAAAAAGTAAGTCTCCATTTAAAAGCGTACATCTTATCACATTCATATCAAATATTCAGAGCAAGGGACGATAATCAATCTCACCCGAGAGTCAAGTTGATATTGTAGTTGCAGTGATAAATCTGACAGGAGAATTTGAAGCTGATGCCAAGTTGAACTAGCAGGCAAGAGATTGGTTTATTACATCCTTGAACTGTTGTAAACTTCAATTATGTCCTGCTGAATTATATTATTGTACCATGTTGAGCTAGTCAAGATTTTCAAGTTGGCTCTTAGTAGCTGGTCGAATTTGACTAGAATTCTAAACCTTAGGGGAGATTTTACTAGAATTTATTGTGCCTTGAAAGTTTCAAATCATATCAAAATAAGTTATACTTTCCAAATTTAAATACATAAACGTGGACCATCTCTAACAATGCTCTACACGTTAACAGAGCTAGATTAAAAAAAAAAATGTGGGTTTTATGAAAAACAGATCATGTGAAATGTCTTGGATAAAAAATAAAAAAAGACGGTGAGACAATTGGAAATTATTTAATTACAACTTATTGTTGGTGGGTTAAACTTTCTAAGATAAAAACTCATAGCAAGATATTGATCTTTTCTAAAAAGTAAACGAATGAACTCACATTCCGAGACATATCTATTCTTTCACTCATCAAGAAACATTGTGTGCAACTTATTACTGAATCATTCGTTTAGCATCAAGATGGGGTATTGACAACAGTTTTGCAAGGAAATAATTTTGTTACATATGGATTAAAGCCCTTGCAAGGAAATAGATTCATTACAATATGGATCTAAGTCCTTTTTTTTGTAATGTTATGTTGGTAAAATATGGTGCATGTAATTTATATTCTATCTACGGGTTAGAATAATGACTTACTCGAAATATAAAATAAAAATTATAGAAGGAATGAATTAAATTAATTTTGTTGTGGCAAGAGTTAAAAGGTTTCTTCTTTAAAAGAATTTTGCTTCACACAAGTGTTTAGATTGTTCTCAAAATAGTATCAGTACAAATTTAGAGAACCACATACCGAACAATGCTTTGTACTCTCTTTTAAAACGAGAATAAAAATATGCAGAATGGTATATATTTTTGGGATATGGTGCAGAGAATTTGACATACTTATTGAAAGTCCTCTTTATTTACAAAGACACACTTGTTAAGAAAAGACGAGTTCTGAAATAAAAAAATTTAGTTTAATAAAAAACGTGGTTATCTTGTTGACATACTGTAATCTAAGAGAAAACTATTGAAAAATGAGAATTCATATGGATGATGTATCTCATTACGTGCTAATCTCGAAATATAAAATAAAAATTATAGAAGGAATGAATTAAATTAATTTTGTTGTGGCAAGAGTTAAAAGGTTTCTTCTTTAAAAGAATTTTGCTTCACACAAGTGTTTAGATTGTTCTCAAAATAGTATCAGTACAAATTTAGAGAACCACATACCGAACAATGCTTTGTACTCTCTTTTAAAACGAGAATAAAAATATGCAGAATGGTATATATTTTTGGGATATGGTGCAGAGAATTTGACATACTTATTGAAAGTCCTCTTTATTTACAAAGACACACTTGTTAACTGCTACGTGGCTATCTTGTTGACATACTGTAATCTAAGAGAAAACTATTGAAAAATGAGAATTCATATGGATGATGTATCTCATTACGTGCTAATAAATACCAGTCATTATTATAATTAGTATTTTGACT